AAAAAAAAAGAAAAAAAAACAGTATCTCAAGGATAATAAAATAGCACTGCGTGTGATGCATGAGTTCTCACAAGCACACACACACACACACACACACACTTAGGTCACAAGAAGTCAGTCACTGTAAAACAGGTTAATTACTGACCAAACAAAAAGAATGACTACAAAACAGGGCATATAACCTATTTTCCTCATGTGTTAACCACACATCTATAAACAGAAGTTACACATTATGTACTGTATATGGCCACAATGCATAAAAGATGAGAAACATTGTGAATTGCCACAATAGATAATTAGGCATAAAGAAAGTGAAATTAAGACATGTAGGGACACATAAGAGCCTATGGTTTCTCCTTTTCCTTAAATAGGGCTTGGTGTTTGTTAGGGCTAGTTCTCAGGGACATGAATCTGAATCATCATCACACCTAAATCATCATTACACCACCAGGATTCAGCTGCCTCTAGTGGCAAGAACCTGAGAATAGAATGTTTGTTGTGACCTATTGAAGTAATTCTGGCCCTTCCTGATCAACTCATACGCCTCGCCCCAACTGAAACATCAACTGCACTGAAAGGAATACCATAATAAATTAAACGCATAATAAATTAAATCACTGATTCTTGAGAAGTAGGACAAAACAGGGTGCAAAATTGAAAAAAATAAAACCTTGTACTCAGACAAATGAAACTACGTTTATGTATATTATATGTACTAAGCTACTGAGCTATGCTTTGATGCAACCTCCCAACTTTTCTCTTTTTTATCAAAATGTGCTTTTCTCCTTGGACTGTGTAATATAATTTTAACTTTATTTTTTAACAGCAGTCAAGATGTTTTTAACATTTCAAAACACATTCTCATGTTAGAAGACAGATTACACTTTCACATGTGACCAACAATTCCACAACAAATATAAAATATCATCAAAATATTCCTCTGACGGAGGTGACGGACCTGACAGAGTTGACAAATCTGACAGTGGTTACAAAAACCTGAATTTGTAGTCATTTTAATTATCTATTACATTGAATCAATCAGTTACTGTATTAAAACAAACAACAAGTATGCTATTGTTTATAAAGCTTTTATTCAACATTCACATTTAAATATTTTGATACATCACTGGAACACAAATAATAAATTTTTACTTTTAAAAACAGTTAAATGAACAAGTTGTTACCTCTATCCATTTACATTCACCATATTCAGATTTAAACATCTTAACAAAATGATCCAAAAATGATCAGAACACACATGATCAGCATACAAACAAACTGTATTATGTATAGATAGGTTTTATTTTGTGTTCCCTCAGCCTCATGTTCCCTGAATCTTGTTCCCTCAACCCTAACTCTGCTAGAAGTGATGGCTATCAATCCACAAAAGCAATATATGCTGTCCTGTCACATATTTAGTATTTATACATTATTAGAAAAATTAAACACTATTTTATATCTAATATAATTCAAAATGACTTGAAAACCACAAAAACATGATGACTTCATGTTGAATGTCAACTCCATCATTGGCCCGTCACCACCGTCATAAAATCTGATGGTGGTGACATCTGACGGTGTTGACAAATTTGGCATTTCTTTCACAAAAACACAAAAAAAGTTCATGTAGTAGTCGTTTTGTTTTTTCTGTTGATGCTAGATGCTAATAGAACCTGCTTCAGGGGCACAAAATTATCTAAATATTTCAAATAATTTCCTCTGAAATTGGAAGACGGTGTTGATATATCATGGTTGTGACACGTGAAATATTAACATTAGGATTTAAAACATTCTAAAACTATAAAACTTACCAGAGCCTGTCTAACACTGATGTACTCTGCAGAGGTGGAATGTGGAAAGGGGGTCGAAGTGGTTCCCAACCCTGGTCCTGGAGGCACCCCAACACTGCACGTTTTGCATGTCTCCTTAATCAAACACACCTGATTAAGGTCATCAGCTCATTAGTAGAGACTCCAAGACCTGAAATTGGTGTCAAAAAATGCAAAATGTGCAGTGCTGGGGTGCCTCCAGGACCATAGTGGCCAGCTGCCACTGATATACCCTGATTTATATATATATATATTTTTTTTTTATGAATGTCTGACGGTGTTGACAAAAAGTGGGGACACAACTTTGAAACCTTATGAAACATGCATGTGTCACTGAAAAACAACCTTGCTTTGATATGAGATATTATTAAGTGTTGATTTTGATAAAACAAGCCATTTTCATCATTAAAAAAAAAACAATTTTTTTATCCATTTTATAGCAGAATGATTGAACCCTTCTTCTCTGTGGACACACTGTTTTAGATGTAGTGAGAAGACAATAAGTGTCACAGATTTGATATAATAATGATAAAATTAAACAGAAGGAGATTACTGTGTTAAATGCATTCTATTATTAATCCCCCATAACATTTACAATTGAAATATTTTCATTTTTAAACCTAATAGCAGTTACAATTGTGGGACGTGTTTTGTCCCACGTGTCAAGAATCAGTGAAATGCCAGGTCTTCCTGCTTTAATGTGAGAAAAGTCTTTGATTCCGTGGCTGAGTATGTCAATGGTTTAAATAAATTAAAAAAATAAGTTTGAAAACACGCCTGTCACAGTTTCAGAACTGACTGAACAGCTCCTTCTGGTGGAAAAAAAGTGACAATGCATGGTTGTTGGCATGAGAGTCTCTTTAAGGTGCTATATAGTCATTTTTTTGGAATTTACGTACTACAATGGCAAAAGCTGATTTGAATAACTTTTATGCTGAGGAACCATTCTGGGCTAAACAGGTTTTTATACGTTTTTTTATTACTATTATTATTAGACATTTATGTTCTACTAATCTTTTTCCATTTATTTCCACTCAACTCGTGCCTAAGGGGAAAACAAAAATTGGGCTCTATTTTGAGTTTTTCTTAGGCTATCTACCATATGTGACCCTGGAAAACCAGTCATAATTTTTTTAAATTGAGATTTATACATCATCTGAAAGCTGGCCGAGATACAACTATTTGAAAATCTGGAATCTGAGGGTGCAAAAAAATCTAAATCCCGAGAAAATCGCCTTTAAATTCGTTCAAATTAAGTTCTTAGCAATGTATATTACTAATCAAAATTTATGTTTTAATATATTTACAGTAGGAAATTTACAAAATATCTTCATTAAACATGATCTTTACTTAATATCCTAATGATCTTCGGCATAAAAGAAAAATCAATAATTCTGACCCATACAATGTATTTTTGGCTATTGCTAGAAATATACCCGTGCTACTTAAGACTGGTTTTGTAATCCAGAGTCACATATTTACTGTAGTGCACTTAGATTCAGACATGTGAACATTTGTTTGAAAAATTGATGTGAAAAAGATTTAAAGTATTTCAACAAAAGACTAAAACATAAAAAACAGCTGCTGCAACATCAATTTATTAAAAAAGACAAAAAAAATGAAAGCGTTTTCTGAATGCACTTTATGTTTCATATTTCATTATGCATAAAAGCTACAGATTACCATAACAAAATGTCCTACAGTATTTTATGAAAAATGAATGATGATGCAATGATGGCGAAAGCATTCGATTTCTCTTTTTCTTTTTTTTAATTTTCATGTACAGGTATTATCATGCTTGATTCTCTATTTGTCAAAACGTAATTACACATTTTTATTTGATCATTTTATCTTAATACTTAACAGATTACAAAACTCTACATAATGCAGTTGGTCGACTTCTAAGCTAATTTTCTCCCCCCAACTTCATATGAACAAATATAGCATTTGTTGTGTAGACAGACAAAAATAAACCAAAAAGGCTCAACTTTAAGTATAACATTTCTCAGTATGAAACATTCTTAAAACCAAGTAAACTAGGAAAATAGAAGAAAACATTAATATAAAAGAGAAATGCAAACAGAAATGCATGAAGACAATTATGCAGATGAGTAACACCGTACCTCTGTGTTGTGGATGCATAGCATACACTCTTACATTTAATCAAGCACAAATGCAAACATACACATGTTGCACGGGCTCACACATGCACAAATACACACATACCAAACAATGGCATGTTCTTAGAAGTGGATCATTATAAAACAGGTCAATATAAGACCTAACATACAGACTGGCCTAAAAACAGGATATAAGTACAGTAAAGAACAGTTGAAAAGAGCTGTAACATTTTATGCAAAAAAAATTCATTTTGGCAAACTATTACTAAACTGACCCTTAGGGATCATTAAACTACCCATCTTTCTAGCCATGAAGCGTTTGCTATTCCTTCTGTCATCTCACTGTCTAAATTCATTTGCTTATAGCTTTCTTCTGTGTTAAAGCTGAACATATTTAATGCTGAATGTGGAGTAAAGCAGCACTTCTTAGCTTAAACCACCAAATTGGTTTCCTGTACCGTGAAAATGTGATATTCTACAATCTATAATAACTATTAGATGCATTAGAGACATCTTTTACCTCAACGAGCAAATAAAGTACTTAAATTATCTGAGGAAGAACAATTAGTTGGTTTTCTCATGCTTCATATAAACCAGCATAAATGAATTCAATGTTTCCATAAAAGTGATTTTCAGCTGATATTAAAATGCTGCTCTATTTTGATGAATCAAAACTCTGAATCTTATGCACACGTTATCATCCGTACAAAAATAGTATAAATTGTCAATACATGAAAACAAGGAATGATGATGTATGATAATACAAATTATAATACAAGCATTCATATGCACTAAACTATACTTCTGAGTTCTAGTAAACAGATTGAGAGTAAGTAATCCAGTTAGAGGTACCAGAGTTGACTAAATACACCCACACTTACAACGGTTTAACACAACTTACACAAACTCACACTGCAACATCGCTTAAGCAGTTAAAACACGCCAACACTGCTTCAATAACCTGCATTTCCTTAGTCTTTCTATTCCCTCGTTTTTCTACCTCACGAGTCCCCTCCACCTCCCATTCTTGCTTTTCACACTTTCCTTTTTATTTCAAACCTATCTTTCACCTTTAACCAAATATCATTCTCATGTTAGTTGTGTTACTTCATGCCCTAATTTGTATTGAGATTAGGATACTTGCTGACTTATACCTCATAGTAATTTGTACCAATTGGTCACATTGTTTTATATCAGAGTTCTCTTTTTCATATGAATTCACATGTATTTCTGAGCTCTGATGCACTCCTAGAACATCTAGTACCATTTTTTTTTCACTGCCATCGAGCACATCCCGTCCTCTTCACAGTTGCTGTTCCTCGTCTTCAGTGATGCCCTGGGCTTTAAGCTCGTCTAGTACATTGTCAATATAGCCAGAATCTGGATAGCCATGTCCAGTAAGATTGGAGCCAAATTCTGTCTTGTGATGGATCTCATTCCAGATGACAGTGTCTGATTCTCCTGTGGTGCTGGAGGTGCCCACTGAGAAGATCAGCCGTCGATCCCACGCCACCAATAACAGCCTTAATGCCTAAGAACCAGATAACATTTATATATTTGCAATAATAATAATTAAAACTACATTAAATCTAAATGTGTTCTCAGATCCTCTTTGGTACATTTGGTGGATAGATGTGCTGGCAAAATTTTGCTCATACTCTGATGTAAATGTACCTGAAGTTTAACCTTAGAGATATAATGGCAATAAAAAAATTAAAAAATACAAAATTAAAATAAAATAATTCCATATGATTAATTGATGTAAAACAACAGAAAAATACATGACTATTCTAAAGTTTGGGCTCATTAAGATTTTACATATACATATATATACACACACATATATATATATACATATATATACATATATACATATATATACATATATACATATATATACATATATACATATATATACATATACATATACATATATATATATATATACATATACATATACATATAT